ATATTCATAAAGCCCAAATCATCAGAGAAGCATCTTTTTGCAAAGGATAGTTATTACAGAGCATACAACTGGTGAACGTGCCGATTATAAATGATGGTTGAATGTTCAGTCATTCATGGGCATTTCTATCACCCCAGCAAGGCAAAGAGAAGACAGCAGGAAATAGGGGAGGGGTTCAGATATCTTCCCTGAGATATCAGAGGCAGTTCATGGTTTCTAGCGGAGGGATCAAGATCTTCAGTGGTAGAGCTACTGTTAAGTTGCTTATGCCTCCGTCATGCAAAAAATAACGTTTGCCAAGCTCTTGTAAGAAATCACAATAACGCCATTGGGTGACTGAAAATAAAGACTTGAAAACAGAAGGGGGACAAGTTGGGGCAAAGGAGATGATGTGCAGGAGTAGGAGGAGGGCCGAGAGGGTGACTGGGTAAATATGATCAATATATCTTACACATGCATATTAAAATATCATGATGGAACCTATTATTATGTATAATTAACATACGCTAATAAAAACTTTCAAAAAAATTAAATTATGTCTTAAGACAAAGATGATTTATTCTAAAATCGAAAGCTTTTTCAATAATAGTGAATTAATTAATAGCTTAAATTACATTAATTGATCTAAGAGGAACATTACCACTATAAATTCTAGAATGAAAAAAATCAATCCTTAGAAAAATCAGTACCCATTAATAATTAAAAGACTCAAGAAAATATGAACTGAAATATGTTTTCTCAGTATGATAAAAGGAATAGACCATCTCAGTGTCAGTATCTCATTTAATAGGCAAATGCTAAAATCTTTTCCTCTATACAGTCACAGTTAGACTTCATGGGCTTAAATTGTAGTTGTATACCTGACTAACATGTAGTTCAGTGGTGTAAAAAGAATGTCCCGTCTTGAATTTTGATGGATAGCAGAGATACATGGCCAGCATGGGAGGTCCGAGGTGGCTGTGTGTGGGGTTGCCAGCTTGCTGACTGGCTCTGGACTGGCACCAGGAACGCAACTTTAAAGAGTGTTCTTTCCATTCTATAGTGGACACGAGTGACTCCCTGTGCCGGGGCTGTCCATGCCGTTTCGTTTATGCTGCAAATCCGAATTTCTTCTGGAAGTGTGAAATTTTGTTATCTCTTTAGAGAAGAGTGACCCCAGGAAAAATCTAAGTCTACAAGCCTGTCTCTGGAAGAAAAATCATACGTTCCTGCTGGAGTAGCTGAGTAACAGAGAACTTGACTAGCAATGTGAGGCCCTAGGCTGAATTCTAGTACAGCAAGGAACCATAGGAGGATCTTCATCTAGAAAACCAATAGAGAATATGTTGATAGAGAACAGTGTGCACATTATAAACAAAGATGATATGTTCTTATAAGACATAGATCTGGGCTTGAGCAGAGACAAAGAAGACTCATTCTGCTTCTCGACTGGATGAAAATATAAACACACACTGTACGTTGATACAAAAAGGAATGCACAATTATCTACTGAAAAAGAGAAACTATGAGATAACTGAGCCTGCCAGACATTAAAAGTAAACCAAAAGTTTCACACTGTATCTTTGTACCCTACACGAGTAGATAAGTAGACCATGGGACACAGAGAGAAGTCACAGGTGTGAAAAGTTAGCCCACACAGAGTGGAATCTAGATGGCCCCAATATAAGTATCCTGTTTAGTGAGTGTTCCTGAGACAACAAGGAACACATTTGAACATAAAATAAAATTGGATCCAAGCAGAACAAGAATTCTAAATGAGTCAGAGAATTACGAGTTAAAAATAATGACATCCTAAGCAATGGATAATTTCCCTTTTAGCCTGGACGTACATAAAATATTTCTAAATACAAACAAAAGTCCTCGTGCATAATTCATGAATGTGGTAAATAAAGGGATCTGAAATTTGCATGACAAAAAATAGACACCAGCACATGCAAAGTCACAGCACAACTGTCAAAGTGGGAGAAGAGTGAGGCACAGCACGCACCATAGCTAGGAAGCTCTGCTCCTTAGTAAAGGAAGGGCTTCCAAAACTGCGAAAGAAAACTCCAAACTCAACAGAAAATGGAACACTGGGCAGGTGTGGTGGTCACATCTGCAATATGTGGGGTCCGAGGCAGAAAGATTTCTAGTTCTAGGCCAGCCCAGGAAAGAAAGCAAAATCCTCTCAAAGAGAAAAGAAAAATGGGAAATTTGACATGCATGCACATCGCCAAAAAGGTGTGAAGATGGTTCTCAATCATGAAAAATATGTCAGTTCACTCACGAAGGAAACGCAAGCTGAGGGGCTGGAGACGGCGCAGGGGTGAAGAGCACTCCCTGCTCTGGCAGCGACCCTTCCGGCTTGACCAGCAGCTCTACAGCATCTCACAACTGCCTGCAACTCCAGCTCCAGAGGCTCCAACCCTCTGTGCAAGGCTGATTCTCACACTCACACTTCTATACCAGATCTGCCTCCTGATTAATAGCCGACCAAAAGCTGTTCAGACTTCTCTGTAATTAAGAGAAAACACGATCTTCGCTGAACTGTTTTCTTTTTCTTAGATTAATTTCAGCCACAAATTAAATCACTTAGTTCTTATTCCCCTAAGGGTAAATGTTTTATGGGTTTTTTTAAGTTTTTTGTTTGTTTGTTTGTTTGTTTGTTTGTTGAGACATGGTTTCTTTGTGCAGCTTTGGAACCTGTCCTGGAACTCACTCTGTAGTCCAGGCTGGCCTCAAACTCACAGAAATCCACCTGCCTCTGCCTCCCACTGGGACTAAAGGTGTGTGCCACTGCTGCCCAGTCATATTTTGTTCTTATATTAATAGAAAAGTCTAAAAGTAGCTATACAACTAAATTTTACAAAGGTATATCCTGACTTACTAATATGAAGACAATCAATTCTACGTGTATCTACACTATTGGATGGACAGGGAAGACACAGTCTCCCATCCTAAGCTTATGTGCAGAAACTGCCTGATTTTTATTGGGATTCTGCAGTACAGTAATGAATATAAATGAGAAGGAATTGAGACCTAACAACCTTTCATTCATGTCAAGGCAACAAAGCAATTATGCTCAATTTGGCTCCCTAATTACTAGGCTGACACAGATAAAGGAGAAAAATACTAAAAATCAATTGTAGGTTCTCAAATACCACAAAGCAATGAAGAAGATGTGCAGGAAAAAAAAAGTATTTGAAAAATCTAAAACAACCTACAATAAACACCCAAGAAAGCAAATGCCACGCAAGTCTTCTCACAGAACCACTTTAATGCTCACAGTAATATGAAAACAGCGGGAGGCATTGCAGTTAAAGCAGACACAACCCAGCGTCAGCGATCTCACCTGCTTCTGAATGGATGGTTGTCCACTAATCTGGCAGAGCCCTGGGTGTTCCAATTAAAGTAATATACAAGTCAATGACAATTAGAAAAATTTACCCATATACCAATCATGACACCTCCGTGTGGCGGAAAATGCACCAGAAGGATCATTCCAGGCCCGTTTTTAAACACTCTTGGCGACTGGTCTTGCTTTGCACCTTTTCTTAGTCGTTGTCCCATTGCTGTGAAGAGACATTATGACCAAGGGAACTCTTATTTTTTTAAGATGCATTGAATTTCAGGCTTGCTTACAGTTTCCAAGACTTAGTCTGTTATCATCATGGCAGAGAGCATGGTGGCAGGCAGGTGTGGTGTTGAAGAGGTAGCTGAGAAATATGTCCTGATCTGTAGAAAGAGAGAGACGGAGACAGAGGGGCAGGCAGAGACAGACAGACGAGACTGGGTCTAGCATGGCCTTTGGAAAGCTCAAAGCCCACCCCCAGTGACACACTTCCTCCACCAAGGCCACACCTACTCCAGCAACCTGACACCTTCTAATCCTTGTAATCCTTTCAAAGAGTTCCACTCTCTCATGACAAAGCCTTCAAGTATGCGAACCTATGGGGCGGTTCTTATTCAAACCACGACAGTATAGAAGACATATCTCTGTTAGAGTGACATGGTTAGACTCAGAATGCCTGTCACAGAAAAACTAGCTGCTGAAGGGATTGCTGAGGGACCATTTCTGAGAACTGTCTGTTTGGGTATCAAGGCCACTTTTCGTTGTTTTTACTCTGGGGATTTTGGGGGGGGCAGGGGTTGTTCGTTTGGTTGCTTTTGTTTTCAGTGTTCCTATGCTCTGGGTGGCAGTCCTCCATCAGGTGTAGGAGCAGAAAGGATGCTCTCCCATTCCACAGGCTCCTTCTTTAGCTGTGCAGAACCTTTTGAGTTTTATGAAGTCCCACTTGTCAGTTGTTGGCCTCAAGGCTGGGCTAACAGGCTATTCAGGAAGCCCTTTTCCACACCTATATCAGGTAGGCACTGCCTACGCTTTCTCCCAGGAGTCTCGTCTCTCAGTTTCCACGTCAGGATCATTAATCCATCTAGAGTTGCTCTTCATACAAAGTGAGAGATAGGAGTATATTCTTCTTCGGGTGGCACCCAGCTGTGCCAGCTCCATCTGTTAAAGACACTTTTCCCCCCATTTGTGTTCTTTTTGCCTCTGTCAAATACTAAGTGGCTGGAGTCAGATGCACCCGTGTTTGGACCTTCTGTCTTATTACATTGGTCTCCATATCCGTTTTTGTGTCAGTGCCATATTGTTTTATTACTACGGTTCTGAAATAAATCTTGCTATCTGGAAAGGTAATCCTTCCAGAATCATTCTTTTTGCCTACAATTATTTTAGTTATTTTTAGTCTTCTTTGGCTCCATATGAATTTTAGAATAGCATTTTTAAATTTTGTGAAGAACAAGATGGGTATTTTAATTGGAATTGCATTAAATCTTTTGGCAAAAGGGTCATTTTCACAATATTGCAGGAAAATGGTTGGAGCTAGAAAACATTATTTTGAGTGAGGTAACCCAGACACAGAAAGACAATTATCACATGCACTCACTCATAGGTGGTTTTTTTTTCTTCAGTTTTTGTGGTTTTATTTAAACACAAATAAAACATGCACGCAAGCCATCTACTCATTCTCTTCGCTGCGTAGCCTGGTGTTGGGACTGGTGACTCTGATGGCCGGCTGTGCTGTTCTTTCTATGATGGCTTTTCGGTTCTTGGAGGAAACACTGTGAGCAATCTCAGCACAGTAAGAGTTGTTGCATGTCAGCAGCACCTCCAGCTCCTTGACGTTGTGGACCAGAAACTTCCGGATGTGCTTGGTTTTCTTGTTGCTCCTGTAACCAATGTTGGACATCAGGATCTGGCCCTTGAATCTTCTCCGCATCCTGTTGTCAATACCTCTGGGTTTCCACCAGTTTCGCTTAATCTTGACATATCGATCTGACTGATGCCGGATGAACTTCTTGGTCCTCTTTTTGACTATCTTGGGCTTCACCAAAGGCTGGAGGGCAGCCATGATGCCGCAAAGGAGATGGCCAATAGGTGTTTTTTTAAACATAAAACAATGAAAGCCATCCTACAAACCGTTCTTTCAAGGTCTTTGAAGAATTTTGCTGGGATTTTGATGGGTATTGCATTGAATCTGTAGATTGCTTTTGGTAAGATTGCCATTTTTACTGTGGTATTCTTTTCTGTTTGGATGAAATATTCCATAGACGTCTGTTAAGTCCACTTGAGTCATAACATCTGTTAGTTCTCTTATTTCTCTGTTTATTTTTTTTTTGTCTGACTAACCTGTCCAGTGGTGAGAGGAGAGTGCTGAAGTCTCCCACCATTAGTGTGTGGGGTTTAATATATGATTTACGCTTTAGAAGTGTTTCTTTCACATATGAAGATGCCCTTGTATTTGGGGCATAGATGATGTTCAGTATTGCAATTTCCTCCTGGTGGATTTTTCCTGTGACCAATATGAAATGACCTTCTCTTTGTCTCTTTTGACTGATTTTAGCTTGAAGTCTGTTTTGTTAGATATTAGGATAGTACACCCGCTTGTTTCTTAGGTCCATTTGATTAGTATATTTTTTCCCCAACCCTTTACTCTGAGATGATGTCTGTCTTTGAGGTTGAGATGTGTTTCTTGTAAGCAGAAGAAGGATGGATTCTGTTTTCATGTCCAATCTGTTAGCCTATGCCTTTTTATAGGTGAGTTGAGTTCATTTATATTAAGGGATATTAATGACCAGTGATTGCTATCTCCTGTTAATTTAGTTTTCATCGTTGGTGATGTTAATTTGTGTATTTTTTCTTCTTTGGGGGGAGTTCATTACTTTCTTTCTTCTACTTAGTTGGGCACAGGGCCTGGTGATCTTGTTTATCTTCACAAGAACCAGCTGCTATGGTTGCTGATTTCTTTATATTGTTTTCTTTGTTTCTGTTTCATCACTTTCTGCTCTAAATTTTATTATTATTATTATTTTACTGTTGACTTTGATTTGGTTTATTCTTGTTCTTCAAAATTTTTGCATTGTGTCATTAAGTCATTTATGCGTGCTCTTTCTGATTTCCGAATGTCGGCACCTCGAGCTATAAATGTCCCTGCTCTCAAAGTGTCCCAGAAGTTTTCTTGTGCTGTATTTTTCATTGTCATTTAGTTCCTGAAAAATTTTTGTTTCTTTCTTGATTTCTTCTTCAGCCCATCCAGCATTCAGTAGGGAACTGTTTAATCTCCATGAGTTTGTGGGTTGACAAGAGATTTGTTTGCTGCCAATTTTACGTGTTACTGCATTATGGTGAGAGAGCATACATGGAGTTATTTCAGTCTTTCTGAACTTGGGAGCCTTTGCTTGCTGTCTCAGGATGACCACATCTATTCTAGAGAAGTCCCATGGGCTGCCGAGTAGAATGTGTTTCTCAGGTGTGATATCGTCTCAGGTGTGCAAACTTCTGTTATGTCTATTTAATGTATGATATCGATTAATTCTAAAGTTATTTTGTCTGTTTTTTGATCATGTGATCTGCCTATTAGAGAAAGTAAAGCATTGGGTTCACCTACTATTAATGGGTTGACATTGAGACTGGATGCACCACAGTTTGGTGTATCTATGTTAAGAACCATATTATATTCTTAGTTACCAGCTTCCTTGGTTAGAATGATGTATCCTTTATCTTGTCGGATTAGTTTTTGGAATTTGGAAGAGGAGTCAAGACAGGGTTTCACTATGTAGATCTGGCTGTCCTGAAACTCACTGTGTAGACCAGGCTGTCCTTGAACTCATAGAGATCTGCCTGTCTCTGCTGCCTAAGTACTGGAACTAAAGGTATTAATATTAGGGTAGCAATGCCTGCTTACTTCCTCCTCAAATTGTACTGAAGACCTTTTGTCCACTCTTGTACTCTCAGACCATGTTTCTGTGAAGCTATGTTTCCTGTAGACAACACATAGCTTGTTTCATGGTCCTCTCTGTCAGCTTGAGTCCTTTGGCTGGAGAAATTAAGTCACTGCTATTTAAAGGAATGGCTTAGGGACAGGATAGATGAACTTCCCAGTGAGCGCATGGGCACGCAGGCAAAAAACCAAAAGCTTCCTTCTTTCGCATCCTTTCACGTGTGCTATCACCAGGAAGGGTGGGTCCTCCTACTTCCAATGAGCCAATCAGGAGAAATCCCTCACACGTGTGTCCAGTGTTTGGGATTTAGTTATTCCAGGTGTAGGTAAGTGGGCAACCAAGCTTAGTCATAACACAACTTCAACAGAAGCTTAATGTTCAAGAAAATGTCAGCAGTAATGACTATCTCTCAACAAAGAAAAGCTCGTAACACCAGATAAATGATTGGTAAGTCATTTAAAGAACTAGAAGTGATACTCCTCACACTATTCCATAAAATACCAACAGGGAGAGCACTGCCACACTCATGCTACAATGGGGAGCTCGCTGATGCCAGTGGATAAAACACAACAAAGAAAGAAAAGTATCTGGCAATTCTCCCGATGAACAAGGACACATCAATTCTCAATAAAATTCTTACAAATGGGATTGAGAAACACATTCAGAAGATTGAACACTATGACTGAGTTCATTTCCTTCCAAGTTAACTTCATTATTTGCAAATCAGCAAGTGTAGTTCAGCAGACAATCAGCGTACACAATAGTCTCAGTAGCTACAGAATAAGCCTCTATTATTATTCATTTCTATGAATATTTGTGTGGACAGGCAAGCACGCTCATAGAGGCCAGAAAAGGTATCAGATCCCTCTGAGTTTGAGTTACAGGCATTTTCAGGATGCTCAGTTTGCCATGTGGGTTCTGGGATTTGAAGTCTGGTCCTCATGATTATGCAACAAATGTCACCACTCCAACCCAAGAAAAGGCCTTTGCCAAAGTTCAACATCTATTTGTGGTCAAAAAAATCCTGAAGAACTAATAACATAAATAAATCATGATCAGTGTAATATAATAAAGGCCACATGAACTAACAATGTTCTAAAGTGAGGAAATAAGACCATGTCTTCTAAACTCCTAAATGAAGATGGCCCACTCTGTCCACTCCTATCAATATGCTGCTTGAAGTCTTAACTGGAATGATCAAGAAAGGTGAGAGAAATAAAATAATATAAATAGAAAATGAAGAAGTAAATTATTGATATTTGCAAAGGAAGTGAACCTATAATAAAAAGATCCTGATACCCCCACATGAAAACTCTTTGATTTATCTGGTCAACACTTTTAGTAAAGTAGCAGGATATAAAAACAAACATGCAAAATTAATAGCTTTCCTATATACCAAAATATATAGCGAGAAGTCAGAAATAAATCATGTTAAGTATATCTTCAAAAAAAATAATAATCGTGGCTGCAGCACACAAGAGAGTGGGCTCTGCATCCCATCTGGGGAACACACTAGAGTTGACCCTGTGGTCCAGGTACAGGCGAGCGAGCTCTGAGGTCCTGAGAGCAACAGAGCTGACCCTGCCCCCAGTCTCATCTGCAGTCCTGAGAGTAACAGCGCATCTGCCATGGAGAAGCATGGGCGAGGGAAACCCCTTCCTTCTTGCTACCTGTAGCAAGCAAGAGAGCTGGTCGTGGGGTCACACAAGACAGTGAGAGAACCAGCCCTACCCCCCACCAGATGCAGCACACAGGAGAGTGGACCCTTCACCCTGGCCAGGGAACACACTAAAGTGACCCTGTTCTCCAGGGTGCAGGTAAACAAGAACAAGAGAGTTGACTCCCCACCCCCATCTATCTCACCCCTGCCACAGCCCCTGCAGCAATTGATAGAAAAGGCCCTAAACCTTGCCTGGGCAAAGCAGTAGAGCTGCCCATGGCGCTATGAGTATGGGTGACCTGGATCTGAAGACCTGAGAGCAAGAGACCTGGTTCCCACTCTTTGCTTCAGGCTGCGCAGGGTGGGCTAGCCAAGGCAGTGCTGGAGAGCTCACTCAGGTAATGACCATGAGGGAAAGCTGGCAGACTGACCAAGCCAGCTACCACCCAGGTCCAATCAGGGCTAAGAGTTGTCCCATCCCAGTGTCCACCTCATCTATGAACTGTGGAGCATGTGAAGGGGCTGGACCTACAGATCTGAAACAGCTGGATCTCCATGACACAGGAAAACACTAGGATATCCAAGAGAAGCCCCAGTGAGAGCCCATTGTTGTAGCAGAAACAGACCAATGATTCATGGCAATAAACACTTGCAAGTAAAGATGAATGGACCAAAGGGTACAATGTGTGACTCACTGGGCCACTCAACAGCTTCCACAACAAGATTCTTCTCTCTCTCTCTCTCTCTCTCTCTCTCTCTCTCTCTCTCTCTCTCTCACACACACACACACACACACACACACACACTTGGTTTGGTTTTTTCTTTTAAATTTGGTTTTATTTCTGGCGATTGCAAGGGCAGAGGGAAGATGGGAGAGGATTGGGAGACAAGTGGGATCGCCATGCCTGATGTGACATCTACAGGGAATCAATAAAAGTTAAAATAATGATGATAATGACAATAATAATAATAATCTGCAAAGAACGTGAAGACATCTCCAATAAAAATTTCAAGACAGAATCAAATGTGTTCAGTCATAGCCCAGAAGTGTATATGACCAAAAATAATAATGAATGAAGTCTAACACGAAATCATAAACTACTTGAAGCATTATAAGGTGTTCAGTTGGTTGGTTGGTTGGTTGGTTAGTAGATAACTCTATTTATTGTTCAGTTCTTGAATGGCTCCTTTGTGAATGGTTTCACATTCCAATTTTACAAGGTTAAGCACCTGCTAGAAGATTCAAAGAGCTTTAATGCTTATATATTGGCAGGTTCCATATTTTAAAAATGGTCATATCATTAAAAGTAATCTACAGGTTCAGTACAATCCCCATCAAAATATTAACAACAGAATAGAAAAAAAAAACTCTTAAATTTCACATGGGAGCACAAAAGACTACAGATAATCAAAGCATGATGAAGCAAGAAGAACAGGGCTGGAGACATCAAACTACTTGATCTCAATTGT